CTTGGGTGTGCAGATGATGTAATGGATAATGACTTGTAATTGTTAATTGGAGAGCCAAATTACAATTTCAGTTGATTTCATTATATTCATTTATGTGCAAATACCTTTTCGAAAGCTATGAATCCTGTTCTTCTTCCCCCAGCTATGTGTTAATCGATATGACTTATATAACTAAATCATTACTATTTCTAAAAAAATACTTACTGGCTTTAAATAACCTGCAAATTGTTGATAAGCCATAGTAATCAGTCAACAAAAAATATGAAATCCATCCTAATATAAACAGAAATAAATCTTATTCTATTGTAATCAGATGCACATCAGATATAAACAAGATGAAAAAGCCATTAATAATATAATTTGCCAATGCATATCACTTAATTATTGTCATAAATACCATAAGAGTTTGCATTTACTGTAAAATATGCAAAACCTTAAACCTAATCATCATCCATAAGTTGGGACCTCAAAAATCCTTTCTATGTAAAATCAATTTTGCTTATGAATTTCTTGTGCTGTTTGAAAGACAGTACTTATTTTGCTCATACAGCCACCACACTCTCTCATAGGTTAACTTGTAATTATCAAAACTTTTTTGTTGATATGTTAATCACTACATTATAACAATCAAAATATGACTATTAATATATGATAAATGTTAGTGGATAATATGAAATTATTACCTAGGACTTAGTGTAAATAAAGAACTAACATACTTTTATACAAAAGAAACTACTTGCAGTACATACCATATCTTTCACCACAGTGGATGACATTTTACAGTGAATATAAAATATTTAATATCTCTCATCTGGCACTTTCAAGCTTTGTGAACTCCTAATAAAATATTTTTAAAACCATTCTACACATGACATTACTTAAATATGCTGTAAACTATATATTTAAATTTGAAATTTAGCGTCCCTAAAAATACCAGGATGAAGCTAATAAAATCTTTTCTTTGACACTGATAAGATTAGCATTCAAATGTACTTTAAAAAAAAAAAAAGAAAAATAAAGAACTTTGGAGAGTTTCTCTATTAACTTGATTCAACAATTAATACATAAACTGGAAAAATATAACTTAAAGATACCATCATGTCTAAGTTTAATAAAACTTAAATGTGTGTGTGTGTATTTACCAATTACACTTTCTGCACCAATAACCATTACACTATTTTCAATTCCTTAGATATAAATCTATAAAATGCTTCAAGTTATATATAGCCATATGTTTGTGAATATATATTTTTTTTGTGGGTGTATGCAAGAGAATTGTATATACAGAAAAACATTTACTTGGTTCTTTTGTATTTTCTGCAATTTATGGCACCAATGTTTCTGTTATAAGTTGTGAAAGATTTACAAGAGAAAGCAATGTACTCAAGTTAGTTAGTATTGAGTACATGACTACTCAGTTTAGTAATCTGTTGCTGGAAGAAAAAGCCTTGCCTTCAGAGATGTTGGATTGTGCCTGTGGCTAAAATCAGTTATAAAATACAGAATTACAAAGCACCAAGTGTTTGTCATAGTGTCAGATCAAGAACTCTTCATTTCAAACATTTGCCTTTTGAGAAGATATTATTTATCATTAATTTGCTAAGCTTAACTCATTTTGAGCACAAGGCTACAGTTGGTACCTCCACTATTTTGGCATAAATTTTCGATACCTAAATTTTAAAATGAATTTTTAAAATTGAAAAATTATTCTTCAAGATTTCATTTTAGCTTTAATTGAAAGCTAACTGATTAAATTATTTCCAGTAAGTAAAATATTCTGGTGTATTTCAGATAGAAATTATATAGATTGGAATGTCAAGTTTAATTTTGATTTCTTAAAATTTCCTTAAAAAGCAGCCATTTTCTTAATTTTAAGAAATTTGTAAACAAAAAAAATTTATCAATTTTAAAATTCTTTCAAAAAAATATATATATATTTCTGACATGTTATTTGAGTAAAATTAGAAAATTTAAAGTTAAATTAATCTGATTTGAAATAAATATTACTTATAGCATAAAAAAGTAATATGCAACCATTTATTTAATGATTGATCATCATACCTTATGTGAGGCGATAATGGATGGCTGATTGAGTGATGAAGCAGTGACAGCTAGTATGGCTGGCTTGAATTGATATAAAATTTAAGAAATCTAAGTGAACACATTTTTTTGATTTTTAACTACCGAGTAATTTTTACAAATGAACATATTTTTCCACAATTATCTAATAATTTATTGACTTTTATTTACTTTTCGAAAATGCTTTGTACAAAAATAAAAAAATTTGAAATACTATAAAATTTTCTTAAATTAAATTTCTCTAAAGAAACAAAACTCTTAGGTCTTGTGACCGTTTCATAATAATGTTATGTTTAGACTTTCATAGATGAAAATAGTGAACAAATTATGTGGAAAAAAAAAAAATTATTTTAAAAATAGAATTAGTGTAACTACATTTATTAATCTTTTCAATTTTGGATTTGTAAATTTTGTTTCCACTTAATTACTATATCACACCCAGGAAATAGCCCAATACAGAATTTTACATGATTTTAAACTATTATAAATTATTATAATTAAAATTTTTGAAAAACTGAAAAAAATTCTTGTAAGAATTCATTATTCATTGGAAAAATTTTTATTTCTTCAGACAATAATGTCCTTAATATAACTTATTTACAAAAGCAATTAAAAGCTTTTCTAATTAAATAATGTCATAGTTTTATTGCATTCATTATTTTTCAATTCGGAGGAGATTTTCAGTTAGACTAGTGCAAGTCTGAAAAAAAATTAGGTGATTTAGATTCTCCAAGGAGCCCTACTTTTAACAAATAAAAGAAATTCAAGAAATAGAAAAGGTATTTTGCAAAATTTCATGAGATTAAATGGGGGGGTGTTAACATATGTTAAAAAAAAAAAAAAAAATTTCAAAAATATTTTCATTTGTGAATAAGTCCTGAAAATTTCATTAAAATCGGACAATTGTTTTTTACAGGAATTTCCAAATCAATGTTTTCAACGAAAAAAAAATGCAAAAACATCAATGTTATTATTATGCCACTCTGATGACATAGACAAAAGATTTTAACTAAAATTTCAAACGTTCTGAAAAGGATTAAAAAATTTCAAAAAATATTTTAAAAAATACTTTGGTCTTTCATCTTAATAATAACATAAACATTTTGACGATAAAACTTGATAAAAATAAAGTTTGTGGTCTTTTTCATTATGTTATGCTGTTTTCCCACAAAAACATGGATGTACCTAGACTATAGTTATGAGTCAGCTAGTGAGGACCAAATTCACTGTTTACAAATTGGTTTCCAAAATAGCCTTGCTACTTGCATGTATATAAGTATATTTATTCCTAAGGTGTTATAAATACAGTGCTCAATGTTATGAAACAGAGCTATAAGTTAATTAACTGCATGAAACTCCAAGTAGTGTTACTGATTTTGTGAATTGTGTATATTCACTAATATATATATATATATATATATATGTGTGTGTGTGTAAAGTGGGCATTGAAGTCAATACCCAGTGGCAAAAGCTTGTTACATGTTTATATGCAATTGTTAGACCTGACAATTGTGTATAAGCATGAAACACTGTCACCATTTACATATACTCTATCTCTGATATTGAGCACTTTAACCCACAAATATTGCATATCTTAAAACTAAATTTTATAATTCTTGCACACACACACACACACATATATATATATATATATATATATATATATATATATATAATAATGAGTGAAATGTGCCTTAAAAAAAAAGAATGAAAGAAAGAACTTTAAGAGTAAGTGATCAGTTTACAAGTAAAATCTGTTCTACCTGTTGAATATAAAATTATACTGGACAATGTGAATCTTATTGTTGAGATGGTGTGTTGCTTATTTCCTTGAATTATTTCAACTTTTTATAAACATATTTTTATACACCCTATCTGAATACAAGGGGTAAAAAAAAAAAATGTATCCAATAGAGGAGATACAAAAAATACTTGAGATTTGAAGGGTTAAACTTTGTCCAAAATAACTTGCAACTTTTTTTATTTATTTATTTATTTTTTGCTTTCTTCTCTGTTGCCTGTTTGTCACTAACCAATCATTGTGTCAGTAATTATCATTTCATTACGCAATCTCTGCAGTATGTCTCACATTATCATCATCATCATCATTATTATAATTATCATTGCTGTTACACACTTTTCAGTTAAGACTAAGAGCCAGGCTTTTATTTTATTTATTTTTATTTTCTTTTTTAGTCGTTAGAGTTATCTCCCTTTCTTTGTTGGTCGGACGGACGTGTCTGTCTGCTAATAATATTGATTGCGTTTTGGGACTGATGTGTCTGAGCGACCAAAAATGAAACTGTGCACCTCTCTGTATCTACATCGTTTTTTTCTCTCTCTTTACATTCTATTTCCTTTTATACCTTCACTGTCACTGCACCTCATAGCAGCAGCAGCAGGACAACAACAACAACAACAACTGTATAACCACTACCATAAACACTACTGATTTCTCCATCCACGAGAACTACTGCTATTGCAACTAGTATTACTATTGCAACTAGTTGTACTATTACTACTTGGAATATTATCATCATCCTCATCAATGGTACTAGAGTAGATCTGTCTGTTTCTGTCTGTCTGTTGTCACATGAGTTGCGGGTTGTCCTACATAATGCATTGAAAGAAAGAAAAAGAAGGCGTTTATATCAGAACGATTCTCCTGATCATGTGATGACGTCGCCAGGGAAATCTACCAACTCTCTTTTCTCCTTCCTCTGATCTGTGCCGCCTCTTCTGGTCTGTATTTCTCTTTCTGCCATTCTTTATTCAACTATCATCATCATCATCATTAACAGCAACAATACCGGCTCTGAAGGGACCCATTCCCTCCCATATACATTCACTTTTTTTTTATTATTATTATTACTTTTTTAATTTTTTTTAGGTATGGCTATGCATTCACATATCATATAATC